GAAACAATTAAACAAATAGAACAAACTAAAGAATAAAATCAAACACAGTACTCATAAAAGTTGTCAAACGTACATCATAAGTTACTATTTTCCATCTTTTTGGGTGCGATCATGAAATGGAAGCAAAATAACATTTCGGTTTTCGTCGCCTCGAACTTCATGCTTGCACACGATGTTTAATGCAAAACTATATGTTTGAAGCATTTTGTCACAGGTCATAACCAAGCATGATATGACAACTAAGTTCCATAAGGTGGTGATTTTGTGCGTAACCCGTTCAGAATAGGATGATTTTACCCCAAACTTTCGTCTAGATCTAAAGTTTTCGTTTACGAGGACGGTATCCATTGCTGTAATAATATTGGTTGCCTTAAGCTCACGTGCATGATTTTGACCAATCACGAGCCTTATAGCAGACATTCGTAACTACTCATGTCATTCCGGCAAGCCGGATGTCGACTTATACCTCTATCGTGACCATGTTCACGACTAGTCTAGGAATAAGAAAAGCAAGATTTATAGATGTCAACTTCTTTATTGTGGACAACACGACGTTTTGGAGTGTATGCTTGCTCCTTCATCATCAGGTGCAAGCATACACTCCGAAACGTCATGTTATCTTGCTTTTCTTATGCATTCCACTTCTAAATGCCCTTCAAAGATTTAGTCTAGGAATATTTCCAAAGATAGATAACTCTGAATTACCAAACATGGCCACTCCTTGAAAGGCATGTTAAAGGTCACATGCAACGTAAAACACAACTTTGCAGATTCTGATACCTTTCTGTATGGACTTACCGAAACAAAGCGTCAAAAATGCAAATTCAACTTATAAAGTTGAAAAATAACGCGATGAAAAAAAACGCGCGAAATCGGAGTTCAAACGTTTCACTAATTTTCCCCAGACTTTTCTGGGGAATACGGGTTTCAACAGCTGGGCTGCGCTCATAGCACGTGCGCAGTGAAATAGGTTCGCGCAACTTGGAAGCGGGCTGTCTGGTGAATACTCGGTGAAGGCTTTGGTGTGAGCTATTTTCATAATGTTTTGTTGATATCTCACAGGCGCGAACTTTTTATATGTTATGACAGTAAATAAACTGTTTATATAATTTCATTTGTCTATTTCACCACACGTTCTTCTTACCGAGTCACTTTCTCAGTTCGATACTTAAAAGCAATGTCATTATATAGCAATTTCTAACTGTGATATAGATATGTCGCTGTGACAGACAAAACTCAATGTCTTGTTTTATTGACACCTGTGTGTCTGCCTGCCTCTCTGCTAATGACAATATTCAATACACAACTGCGATCACTGACCACATGCAATTTGAACTTAACACCAATCAGGCTATACACCATAAACAAAACGCATTGATTTATGGCCCGAGTTCGGTCTCTGTCACATTATGTAATTACACAGACAGGCAGGTGTGATACTTGAACACATGACATGTTATGATGTCTGTTGATTGCAAAATGTTATACACAAAAAATGAGCATGTATTTACAAAACCCAACATCTCTATATGTACACACACAATGGCGGCATCTGCTAATGAACCAGCCGTTACACTTGAGTGCACACCCACCCGCTCTGACTGGGTTCGGTATCCCGGCTGCTTCGTTTCGAGGGAGGTAAACCCAAGTACAAAATATTGCACTTTTGATTTGCGATTATACGCTTATAATTTTGTTTATTTGTTTTTTCATAATCAGCAATGCATATTATATGTCATGAAGAAGTGATAATTGTGTTTTAATTATGTATGATTTTTTGGTTGCATGTGACCTTTAAGTAAGTTTCTTATGTCGTTAACAAATATCAGTAAAAAGATAATTTTATAATCCCGGAACTAATAATGAAAAATCGATAATCGCAAAGAAACTATTTGACTCCATTCGTAACTACTCGCCTATTTCTGTCACATACGCTATTCGGCTTGTCCGGAATAACCTGAATTGATCATGAAAGTATTTGACTCATTTCACATTTTACTACACGCGACTGCCTCGATTTTGGGCAGTAATGGCGTACTATACAGGTACAAGTCTTCTTCTTATCCAGTTAACGGGAAATAGCCATCCATACATATTATTTCAGATACCTTTTTTTATAATAATTTTCGTAAAAATGAAAATATAGAACAAAAAGGTAATAGGGGATATTATGACATATTACAAATGGAAAAAAATTGCTGCATTTTTTGCTTCTTTCGTGGTTCATCTAGACATTATAATGTGTACACTTACACTTTCATTAAAACTTAACTTATTTAAATTGTTGTTGTACTATTTGAATACTATGATAAATAACTTTCATATCTATAAATATGTTTGGATTAAACCTTTCAAATGGTCCATGACATGTAGCAGTAATAATGTTTTACAAGCTGATAGTTTCCTTGATAAACATAGGCCTCATCTATGACCTCAGGGTCTCTGGGAACACCAGTAAAAGACTCTGGTTGACTGGTGTGGAAAGAGCTAAGTCATGTGTCGCACTTTCACAATATATTGCAATACGCCAACACATATCGCAATACGAAAATTTTGGCGATACCCAACCCTAATAAATCCGCTCACACAGATATCACATGAATATCATATCATATCATATCATATATATCTGATATATATCATATCATATTAAATGTTTCATATCATATCTCATCTCATGAACCAGTTGTACATGTACACATGTTCTACATCAACTACTGACATTATAAACAGAACCTCTGTCTTATAGTGGATAACTCTTTTGTTCGAGATTACTTTAGGTTTGAGTTACACTGTAACCGAAATATCATGCTCAACGTTAGATATGAATACCTACGTTCTTTTGAAATGTATATGTACAAACAATCCAGCCCTATTAAAGATTTTCTCCCCGTTATTTCAAACACATATGCTGTCCCAGAATTCTCCAATCTGCAATATGACACAGCGAAAACCTGATGGGTGCACAAAGCTTAAGTCTACTTAAAATCTCATAAAATTAAGCCCTGTTGGGCAACCTTCATCAATATATCATATTGCTAGCAGCTGTGGTCCCTGTGTCAATAAACCTTGTTGTCAATATCGTTAACACTTTGCATTTAATGATTTATTAAAAACTGTCTGCCATTTATCAAAATGGAGATACTTTCAACTGGTTGACATTTATTTCAATATCTGTTTTATTCATGACTCCTTCAAGGATACACATGCATAAACACTATTGAACATGAAATCAAAGTGATTCAAAAGTCAATAAAACCATCTTACAAAAACTGTGCCGAAATATCACGGCATGTTAGCTTGAGGTGGGAGGAAGTGACATGGAGGATAAAACCCCATCCTTATTTTAGTTTTATGCCGCACTCAGCAATAGTCCAGATATATGGTGGTGGTCTGTTAATAATCGAATCTGGACCAGACAATCCAGTGATCAACAGCATGAGCATCGATCTATGCAATTGGGATACAATGACATGTGTCAACCCAGTCAGAGAGCCTGACCATCCGATCCTGTTAGTTGCCCCTAACGACAAGCATGGGTTACTGAAGATCAATTCTAACCCGGATCTTCACTGTGTCCCCCCCATCCTTAGAAATGTTTATGGTTGTGATACTAAATCACACTTTTGTGTTAATAGTAAAAAACAACCAGTGTAACTGGTGTATGCCTAGAACGGGTTTGTGTCAAGGAGGTAAAGATTGTTTGGGGTTGACCCGATTGCAAGGGATGGCCATCCTTCTTCTCTTAGACCAAACCAGTGGCACTGGTTAAGCCGTATACTTGAATGCACCTCCAACTGTAACTATAGTGTTCAGATGTCCCCAAGGAGTTAAACGCCAAAATGGCAGCAAGTATGATCAGGGTTCTGTTTCTACACCCTTACCATGAAAAGCCTCAATTTTCAAATGAGGAAAGTAAACTACAGACTCAGGTATTCTCTTAATCCAAACATAAATGACAAATATGTAAGCTCTATATAACTGTAATCACTGAGATGCGGAGTCACTATTTTACATGCACCAATACACACTGGGCACAGAACACCCAGAGAAAAGAACAGTTATTAATGTTTTAGTAGAACGTTCTTAATAGTCGGGGATGAAAATGGTTCAGTCGGTACACTGTTCGTATATTTGCCAGGTTTAACAGTCTGACGCTGACTGTACACAGAAACGTACCTTGGCCATAATGAGAATACAGAAACGTACCCTAGGACGATTCCATCCCCATTGTGTCGTATTCTTGACCAGAACTGTCATGCTGTTGTATTAGATACATTTGATTGCGTTATGTAAGTAATGAGAATACACAGTAACGGATATTTCGCGATGCACATGATTACCTTTCGGAATCAGTTGAACAGGAAAAACTACATACGGTTTCGCTTTTGGGAAAGAGTTCCTTCCGTTCCCCCAACTCTAAACCAAACTCTAAACCTAACCCTAAACCTAACCCTAAACCTAGCTTTAACTTCAATTTTGGACTTTTAATCATTTTGTGAGTTCTCTAGTAATTGTTGTGTTAAGTTTTGTTTATAATTCTAGAATATTTAGACATATTATTTGGGATGGGGGAACGGGAGGAACTCTTACCAGGGTGCATATCTGTATACAGAAATGTACCTGGGGTACGTATCTGTAGTACCTGTGCCGACAACGACCCCTTCAGTCAATCTGACTGTATCGATTACTTATCTAAATATAACCAACGCCATACCTGTGTTCGCCCTTGCGAGCGACACGCACTTGCAACTTATACCTACGTGTCACCATTATATGAACAACGTGTCATCATTTAATCACTGTCAGTACGCTAACACATCCATACACGTTTTTACTCGAGGACAGTGAAACGTAAATAAGTTATTAATGAAGATCTCACGAAACCAGTTCACACAACACAAACAGTGGACCCCTTCAAGTATCAACCTGAGACAGGCCAGGCACCCTGAACACGAAGGAACAGAACTGTGTCATTCAGTCAAACCTTATTCACCTACCCGATTTTCTTCTCTCCATAACCTTACATTCCCTCTCCTGCCGTCCGTCTATGTTGTGATGTGGCCACGTCCATTGACGCGTGCGATCGATGAGAACACGCTTGCGACAGCCACATGCTGCATGCGTCAATCAGCGTTCACGGATATAAGATGGTGTGTTCGATTGGATGGCTGATTCACTTGGCTAACTTATGGTTCACCGTGGTCTAATATGTCAGCGGAAGATTAGATTTACAATACGTTTTGATGGAAAAGTTACCTTTTCGTAAAGAGAGTACCTTTTCGTATAGTGTCTACTGATATCATTTATATCAACTTTGTAAGTTTATCAACTCGTGTTGATATAATTGATATCAGTAGACACTTCGGTGAGATTCTATATATCATCAAAATTCACTCTCCATTAGTTTTCAAATTAAAATGCACGTCTCCGAACACGGTACTAACATTAAACTTGCAGTGCAGCGATGTCATAGCATTGTGACGTCATCAAGTTCATGACGTCATAGCTTGTCAGGGCATTGTACAAAATCTACTGTCAAAACGATATCCTAGGAGATATCGTTTGATCTCACACAAGCAATATCTCCTGTTGAACACAATTTTGGATGATAAAGTACAAATATATAGAGAATCTCACCCGAGTGTCTTTTGATATCAAATATATCACCACGAGTTGATAAAGTAACAAATATCCGAGACTTGCCGAGGATATGTTTACTTTTATCAACGAGTGTTGATATATTTGATATCAGAAGACACGAGGGTGAGATTCTATTTATCATCCAAAATCACTCTTCATTAGCTTCAATGAAAAATGTACATCTCTGAACACAGTACTGCCATTAGATTTGCAGTGCATCGATGTCCTAACATTTTGACGTCAACAAGTTCATGACGTTATAGCATTGTCAGGGCATTGTACAAAATCTACTGTCAAAACGATATATCCTAGGAGATATCGTCTGATCTCACACAAGCGATATCTACCGTGGAACACAGTTTTGGATGATAAATAAATAAAGCAGAATGAAGCTGAAGATATTAACATTTTCATCTTTGTTTTCCCGCAAGTGAGAAAACAGACCTTTGGATTGAGTTGAAATTTGACGTCACAACTGCGCATTATTTCAGCCATGCAGCGGCACAAATCTTTAGCGTGGTTGTGTTTGTCAAACATTAGTAAATGTAATGTGATTGTAATTTCTCAGCATTTGAAATTTAGGTTGGAAACACATAGGGTACTATTTTGGTCCCTGTGTCAAAACACGTAATTATAACTTGCATGGGACAACATTTTATACAGCACAATTTCGTGTGTGTGTGAGAGAGTTTGTGTGTTTATTTGTGTGCATGCGTGTGCGTATGCATGTGTCCTTCAGTGTCTCTCAGTGTGTTTTGTCGTTTTGTCGTGTGTGTGGGAGAGAGAGAGAGAGAGAGAGAGAGAGAGAGAGAGAGAGAGAGAGAGAGAGAGAGAGAGAGAGAGAGAGAGAGAGAGAGAGAGAGACCTACTACATAACCCACTGTGGATCAGCGTGTTATGAGTGCGTTGTTACAGAATAATAACATGTTTCCAAATTGCAATGAAGAGGTTCGGGAAGGTCAGTAACACTTCACTAAAACCATATGACTACAACCTCTATTATGTTGGGGCTGGCGCTTGAAATGCATTATGATAAAATGATTCATACTTTAAAGCCCAATGCCACTCTTCAATCTCACAAAACTAAAATCCTCCTCAGAGATATAGTGCATATAACTCCGAAATCGGAGGCGACATCGCGCTTACTTACACGAAACTAAGAACCAAAATCCCAGCTCGTAATATTTAAACGGAGAAACGTAATGACATTAAAACGTTACGACCTTCTGACTCAATGTTTGGTTAACCGCAGCTACAGATTGTCCGATCAAATAAAGCACGGGAGCCAACCCCCACACCTGATAACGGGACGTGGTAGAAACGCATAATTGTTTGCTCTAACAATAACTCTCACATTGATGGAACCCAGACACAGGTCACACCCTCGGTTATATTTCAGTGTTGTTAAGTACAACACAGACTATAGAAAATAAAACCTTACTAGAACGGAATGAAAAACTTTCAAGGGATATTTAAGAGGGGTCTGGTGGGCGGTGTTGCTTTAGGTAAGTGTCACGTACATTTGTTCATGTCGTTATTGACACTGTGTTGTAAAGCGAGGAGTTTTGTCGTAAGGTTTTATCACAAAGGTGCATTATTCGTTGGGCAGCTTGGAGTGTTCTGGAGATAAACTTGCTGTGACAAACTCAGTTGTTCGACTCAGTGTCTGAAACACCAGTGAAGATCCGGTTTAGACTTGGTCTTCAGCAACCCATGCTTGTCGTAAGAGGCGACTAGCGGGATCAGGTGGTCTGGCTCGATGACTTGGTTGACACATTTCATGGTATCACGGGATTGTCTGGTCCAGACTCGATTATTTACAGAGCGCCACCATCCATGTGGCTGGAATATTGCTGAGCGCGGCGTTAAACAACAAACAAACAAACAAAAAGTGTCTGAGAAAGAGAGAGAGAGAGAGAGAGAGAGAGAGAGAGAGAGAGAGAGAGAGAGAGAGAGAGAGAGAGAGAGAGAGAGAGAGAGAGAGAGAGAGAGAGAGAGAGAGAGAGAGAGAGAGAGAGAGAGAGAGAGAGAGAGAGAGAGAGATTGTATAAGTCTCGACTACAATGCAAGGTTAGTGTAAGCCCACTGACATACATACGATGCCACGGTTTAACCCGGATATACCATTCAGACACGGTATACTGACCAGTCCGTGTTCTAGCCAGTATTGCCGAGCACCAGGAAAAAACAAAAACAAGAATCATATTTAACGTCTAAGGTATGCCGCTGAGTGAGACAGGTTTCTATTATATCTCTACTGCGTTCACATTATTAATATTTCACGCACCATGAACCAGCTTAGGTTGCCACAGTTTTTGCAACCAAGGTTATCTGTATTCAGCTTGAGTTTGCAAGAGTTATTCATGCATGACTTAAGGCAGTACACAACATCATAATGGCTGACAGGTGAAGGAGAAACGTGGCACCTATGACAGGGTAATATTTGCTTCAATGCATGGCAAGCTACCCTATTTGTTCATTCATGTGAAACAAAGTAAACAAACGCGGTAAACATTAAGCAGACATTTAAACACGCCATTCAGGCTGCGTTATAAATTCTAAAGTATTTATATTCAACAGTCGTAAGTTATACAATTACATTTCCCTGAATCATAATTAAATATAAACCTATATATATATTATCATTGCCTTGTTAATCATGTTTCTTTTCAAAATGACTTTGGCCATGGTTGATTCAATAATGAGACTTTCACCTTTAACGATCACGTCATTTGGAGGCTTCAAACCAGTGTGCCACGCCCCAGGGGTTGAGTAGGAGTGACTGAGTTTAGTTTTACGCCGCACTCAGCAATATTCCAGCTAAATGGCGGCGGTCTGTAAATAACAGCATGAGCATGAGCATGAGTATCGATCTACGCAATTGCGATACGACGATGTGTGTCAACCAAGTCAGCGAGTCTGACCACCCGACCCTGTTAGTCGCCTCTTACAACAAGCATGGGTTACTTAAGATCAATTCTAACCCGGACCTTCACGGGTTTATGGAGCCTGGTACTGATATACTGATGTTTATACTGACGCCTCTTACGACAAGCATGGGTTGTTGAGAGACCAATGCTAACCCGGATCTTCACGGGTGAAACCAACATGAACAGCGAAAGTGCTGCCAACATAACCATGATGGTGGTTAAGCGCACCAGTGACACTGTCGTTATTAGGTCACACCATTGTTTAAACGATCCATCATATTCGGACCCGTAAAGATCCCGGTTAGAATTGATCTTCAGCAACCCAGGCTTGTGTAAGAGGCGACTAACGGGACCGAGGGGCCAGGCTCTCTGACTTGGCTGAACATGTCATCGGTTCCCAATTGCATGCATCGATGTCCATGCTGTTAATCACTGGATTGTCTGGTCCAGATTCGATTATTTACAGACCGCCGCCGAATGTTGCTGAGGGCGGCGTTAAAACAACAACCAACCAATCAATCAATCAATTATAATCTATGTAAGGCCAGTTGATTTTATATTACTGGTGCCTATAGTTTATGAAAGTTCAATGTATACTTGAAATACATTGAGTGCTAGTATTCCATATGGTAAACATCGTTCTCCAACCCCTACAGTGTGCTTTGAAGACATGTAAACATCGGTTACATAAGCACATGGCCTAACAGCGTCGAATTAACTATGAAGCTTTTGCAGATATTTGTATTAACCCTTTTTAAAATAGTATGTATACGTTCGTACATTCTCTTCCCACAGAGGTTACTCCTGTCATATCTTCCTACGTAACCTCTGTTCTAATACGGCCCTTTCATGGTGTGAGCGTTCAAGACTCGTGATTGGAGGCAATCAGATTTAGTTGTGCAATCAGCGACGTTGTTTCAAAAGTGATCATTCGCAAGGCCTCGGTAATTTCCGTATGCTTCGAGAAAACTAAACTTCTTCCCCTGCGCGATGCGCAAACGTTTCTTCTAGACAGAACTCAGTCATGTTATGGCGGATCAGTGGTGTCTCCATCGCCCTCGTTGACAACGGACAAGCTAGCCATTAAACGTCTTGTGTGTAACATCAACACAAGTCCCCGGCAGATGGGGGATATTTGTGGCCCCACATTTGCTTGTGTTAGTCAAGTTGAATCTAAGTCGATGTAACACGTGTTCTGATTGGATAGAAAAAAGGAGATAATTCGTGTTGCGATCTTTTGCCGCTAGGGGATTTTACGAGAACCGGGAAATATGGCCGTATTAGAACAGAGGTTCGTAGGAAGATATGACAAGTAACCTCTGTGGGAAGAGAATGACGTTCGTATTGCTTTTGTAATGTAATGTTACATACAGATGTTCATAAGATCAAGTCCCCGCTCTCTGTCGTCTCACGCAGTGTGCTTGCGCACATGTATTGGTAGCAGAGAACATGTTTCACTTGCATCACACAAGGGTCTTGTGCTGTGAAGATATTGGCTCGGGTATATTTTTCAAATTAAATAGTTAGTGAAAGTCTAAGAGTTGGAAAGCTTTTGAAAGACTTTTAAGTTAGAAACCATGCTCGTAAT